CTCAAGCGTTCCTTATACCATCTCAAGCGTTCCTATTATACCCATTTCAAGCGTTCCTATTACACCATCTCAAGCGTTCTATACACCATCTCAAGCGTTCCTATTACCATCTCCAAGCGTTCCTCATTCCATCTCAAGCGTTCCTATTACACCATCTCAAGCGTTCCTATTACACCATCTCAGCGTTCTATTACACCATCTCAAGCGTTCCTATTACACCATCTCAAGCGTTCTATTTTTATCTCAGCGTTCCTATTACACCATCTAAGCGTTCCTATTACACCATCTCAGCGTTCCTATTACACATCTCAAGCGTTCCTATTACACCATCTCAAGCGTTCCTATTACACCATCTCAAGCGTTCCTATTACACCATCTCCAGCGTTCCTATTACACCATCTCAAGCGTTCCTATTACCATCTCAAGCGTTCCTATTACACCATCTCCAAGCGTTCCTATTATACCATTTCAAGCGTTCCTATTACACCATCTTCTATTATCATCTCAAGCGTTCCTATTACCATCTCAAGCGTTCTATTCCATTTCAAGCGTTCCTATTACCATCTCAAGCGTTCTATTACACCATCTCAAGCGTTCCTATTACCATCTCAAGCGTTCCTATTACACCATCTCAAGCGTTCTATTACACCATCTCAAGCGTTCTATTACACCATCTCAAGCGTTCCTATTACACCATCTCAAGCGTTCCTATTACACCGTCTCAAGCGTTCCTATTACACCATCTCAGCGTTCCTATTACACCATCTCAAGCGTTCCTATTACACCATCTCAAGCGTTCCTACCACCATCTCAAGCGTTCCTATTACACCATCTCAAGCGTTCTATTACACCATCAAACGTTCCTATTACACCATCTCAAGCGTTCTATTACACCATCAAGCGTTCTATTACACATCTCAAGCGTTCTATTACCATCTCAAGCGTTCCTGTTACACCATCTCAAGCGTTCTATTACACCATCTCAAGCGTTCTATTACACCATCTCAGCGTTCCCTATTACACCATCTCAAGCGTTCCTATTACACCATCTCAAGCGTTTCTATTACACCATCTCAAGCGTTCCTATTACACCATCTCAGCGTTCCTATTATACCATTTCAAGCGTTCTATTACACCATCTCAAGCGTTCCTATTACACCATCTCAAGCGTTCCTATTACACCATCTCAAGCGTTCCTATTACACCATCTCAAGCGTTCCTATTACACCATCTCGGTTCTATTACACCATCTCAAGCGTTCCTATTACACCATCTCAGCGTTCCTATTACACCATCTCAAGCGTTCCTATTACACCATCTCAAGCGTTCCTATTACCATCTCAAGCGTTCTATTACACATCTCAGCGTTCCTATTACACCATCTCAAGCGTTCCTATTACCATCTCAACGTTCTATTACACCATCTCAGCGTTCCTATTATCTCAAGCGTTCCTATTACACCATCTCAAGCGTTCTATTACACCATCTCAACGTTCTATTATACCATTCAGCGTTCTTTACACCATCTCAAGCGTTCCTATTACCATTAATTCCCATCTCAGCGTTCCCACAGCGTTCCTTTACACCATCTCAAGCGTTCCTATACACCATCTCAAGCGTTCCTATTACACCATCTCAAGCGTTCCTATTACACCATCTCAAGCGTTCCTATTACACCATCTCAAGCGTTCCTATTACACCATCTCAAGCGTTCCTATTACACCATCTCAAGCGTTCCTATACACATCTCAGCGTTCTATTACACCATCTCAGCGTTCCTATTACACCATCTCCAAGCGTTCTATTACACCATCTCAAGCGTTCCTATTACACCATCTCAAACGTTCCTATTACACCATCTCAAGCGTTCCTATTACACCATCTCAAACGTTCCTATTACACACCATCTCAAGCGTTCTATTACCATCTCAAGCGTTCCTATTACACCATCTCAAGCGTTCCTATTACACCATCTCAAGCGTTCCTATTACACCATCTCAAGCGTTCCTATTACACCATCTCAAGCGTTCCTATTACACCATCTCAAGCGTTCCTATTACACCATCTCAAGCGTTCCTATTACACCATCTCAAACGTTCCTATTACACCATCTCAAGCGTTCCTATTACACCATCTCAAGCGTTCCTATTACACCATCTCAAGCGTTCCTATTACACCATCTCAAGCGTTCTCCTTACACCATCACAAGCGTTCCTATTACACCATCTCAAGCGTTCCTTTCACCATCTCAAGCGTTCTATTACACCATCTCAAGCGTTCTATTATACCATCTCAGCGTTCCTATTACACCATCTCCAACGTTCTATTACACCATCTCAAGCGTTCCTATTACACCATCTCGTTCGTTCCTATTACAATCTCAAGCGTTCCTATTACGACCATCTCAAGCGTTCCTAATACACCATCTCAAGCGTTCCTATTACACCATCTCAAGCGTTCCTATTATTCAAAGCGTTCCTATTACACCATCCAGCGTTCCTATTACACCATGTCAAGCGTTCCTATTAATTCATCTCAAGCGTTCGCTATCTCAAGCGTTCCTCAAGCGTTTATTACACCATCTCAAAGCGTTCCTATTACACCATCTCCAAACGTTCCTATCCATTTCAAGCGTTCTATTACACATCTCAAGCTTTCCACCATCTCAAGCGTTCCTATTACACCATCTCAAGCGTTCCTATTACACCATCTCAAGCGTTCCTATTACACCATCTCAAGCGTTCCTATTACACCATCTCAAGCGTTCTATTACACCATCTCAAACGCGTTCCTATTACACCATCTCAAGCGTTCTATTACACCATCTCAAGCGTTCTATTACACCATCTCAAGCGTTCCTAAGCGTTCCTATTACACCTCAAGCGTTCTATTACCCAAAGCGTTCCTATTACACCATCTCCTAAGCGTTCCTATTACACCATCTCAAACGTTCCTATTACACCATCTCAAGCGTTCTTATTACACCATCTCAAGCGTTCCTATTACACCATCTCAAGCGAGGTCTCAAAGCTAACTGGTCTATGTGGGGGAAGGGAGAGGGGGCTTGTTGAGGTGTGTTTATATGGTGTTGAATTAGGGTGAGGTTTTAATGAGGGTAATTAGGGGTTTTGGTGTATAAGGATTACTAGTATCATATAATGAAGATTAATCAGCTTAACCTAACCTAACCTAACCTAATACCTAACTAGCCTAACCTAACCTAACCTTAACCTAACCTAACCTAACCTTAACTCCCCCAAATAGCGTTAAGGTGGTTAATGTTTGTTTACAAGAGAAGTGTCAGGTTCTCCCGGTAGAGGGCCTGGACGTGTGTGTGTGTGTGTTCGTGATTGTTGTTGTGTTGCATATTGTACCATCACACAACCCCATCCCATTACCCTCTCCCTCCACCTCCCCTCACCCCCCTCCCCCTTCCCCTCACCCCCCCCCACCTCACTCACGTCCTCCTCAATTACCTCATTGATCTTTCAGGGTGCTGAGTAGCAGCCGACCATACCGGGTCTCACACACACACAGAGCAGGCGGCCAGTGTCAGTGGGATATCATCTTAACTTTATTTACTGTGTTGGATAAGATTGTGTGCAGGGCATTAGTCAGAGTCTTTTGAGCTGCAGACAGGTGGGCAGGAGGGAGGGCGGAGGAGGGAGGTGGGAGGGAGGAGGAGGGAGGAGGAGGAGGGAGGGGGAGGTGAGGGAGGTAGGAGGAGGAGGATTAGGAGGAGGAGGGCAGGAGGACGGGAGGAGAGGGACGGGAGGAGGGAGGGAGGGAGGAGGAGGGAGGAGGAGGGGGAGGTGGAGGGAGGATTGGGAGGTGGAGGGAGGAGGAGGAGGAGGAGGAAGAGGGAGGAGGAGGGAGGAGGAGGAGGAGGAGGGGAGGAGGAGGAGGGGAGGAGGGGGGAGGAGGAGAGAAGGAAGGAGGAGGATGAGGGGGAGGGGGAGGGGGGAGGGGAGGGAGGGGAAGGAGGGGAGGGGAGGAGGAGGGGGGAGGGGAGAGGAAGAAAGGGAGGGAGGGGGGGAGGGAGGAGGAGGGAGGAGGGAGGAGGAGGGAGGAGGAGGAGGAGGAGGGGAGGGAGGGGAGGGAGGTCAGGAGGAGGGGAGGAGGAGGAGGGAGGAGGAGGAGGAGGAGGAGGGAGGAGGAGGAGGAGGAGGAGGTCAGGAGGAGGAGGAGGAGGGTCAGGAGGAGGAGGAGGAGGAGGAGGAGGAGGAGGAGGGTAGGGAAGACAGAAATGGGAAGTAGGCAGAAAGTAGGAGAGGGGGTATGGATGGAGGAGGGAGAGGAGGAAGGGAAAGAGGAGGAGGAGGAGGTATGAACATGGAGGAGGGGGAGAGATGGAAGAGAGGGAAGTGAGAGGGGGGTGGGATGGGGAAGGTGGGGAGGGAGGAGGGAGGGGGGGGGAGGAGGGAGGGGGGGACTATGCAGACTTCAGACAATGGAAGTCAGTCAGTAAGGCGGGGCACTGTGGTAGATAGCCTGGGTGTGGTGCCTTGGTGGTAGTTAGCTATACCACCCATTGCCACCACCTACCTGCATCCACCATCCACTACCACCTACCTGCAACCACCATACACTACCACCACCTGCAACCACCTTACACCACCACCACCCACTACCACCACCCACTACCACCATTTTCACCAACCAAACAAACAAACAAACAAACAAACATAAATATAAAAATAAATTAATAAACAGATAAAAACTTCCACCATCTTTTGATTTTAAGAATTAATTTAAATGGTAAGTTAAGAGCATCGTATCTGACGTACCCGGGTAGCTGATGACGTCACGCGAGGTATTAACACTCAACTGGTCGTTTATATAAGGATCATTATACGTTTACTTACTCGTGTATTTCAATCTTAAAGTCATATTTAGACGAGATTGATAGGGTTAGTATATTCTTTTAGTTCACATAGAATAAATCATAAAAAATAAACCTAATTACCTGAAAATACGTGAGGTGATGCTGGGACAATTACCTGATGTGAGTGTGAGAGTTGAGGGTGGCCAAGATGATGACGTAGGGGATGACGTATCTGTATATCCTCGTCATGTTCACCAATCACGGCCTTAGAAGGACTATGACGTAAGAGATGGCCCACCTGGCGATCGTCATGCTCACCAATCACCGCTTGAGGAGAATGGTGATGTAATAGATGACACAACTGGTGATTTTCATCCTCACCAATCACAACCCTTGGGATGATGACGTCACGACCATATTTTGTTTTGCTGTAGTGACCAATCAGGGCTTAGGGATGGTGATGCCACACGAGTGTTCGCAGAGATCAACTTTTTCCTTGTATTTCATATTTATTTAATTCAACACAAGTTTTTCATTTGCATTTGATCTCTGACACACCGCCAACTATTAGATTAAAAACCATTGTATATATTCCCTTTATAATCTCTAAGACAACAGAGGGTTATAGTCGGTTCTTATCATTAAACACTATGGTACACTGGGTTGTAATTTCATATTTCTTTCAGGTAAATTTCAACTAACTTTTATTTTTTTTCATTTTCCAAGACAAATTAAATTCTTCCTGACGAGAGTGTAGAGTGTGAAAAGCTTGTGTTGAGTGTGTGTAGGTTGTGGTGGGGCTTAGTTGTCTTGGCCTCCACCACACTCACCTCCACCACACACACACACACACTCACACTCACACACACACACACACACACATACACACACTACATTAAATTCGCTAATTAAATATATGTTCCTTATTTTCTTCAGTATTTTCTACCAGATTCTTGTGGTTCAATGATCTAATTGTTTATTCTGTTGAAGAAAAGATTATTTTCTTAATTACTTTCACAAAAAAATAAACAATAATATCCCCACACTGAAAATATTTACTGAAATATAATAGACGCAATAAATTAGCTGGTGCAGTCGTGCGTACACATACATGAGAGTTTGTGTATGTATTTATGTGTGTTGTTCTCTGTGTGTGTGTGTGTCTGTGCTTGGGTGTGTATATTTATATGTTTGTGTGTGTGTGTGTGTATGTGTGCGTGTCTGTGTGTTTGTGTGTGTATTTGTGTGTGTACACTTCTATGTATGTCTGCGTGTGTATGTGTGTGGGTGTGTGTGTATGTGTGTGTATGTGTGTGTGTGTGTGTGTATGTGTGTGTGTATGTATGTGTTTGTGCGAACGAATATACGCACAGTACATGTGTTCACTGATGCCCATGTGTACAGGTAGAATTAAGGAAAAATCACCTAAAGGTTAACCCCCTCCCTGCTTATTTCACCTAATGATTAACCTACCTTAACTAACCTAACCTTCACCTTCCCTAACCTAACCTAACCAAACCAAACCAAACCCAACCCAACCAAACCCAACCCAACCCAACCAAACCTAACCTAACCAAACCAAACAAAATCTCTAATATTTCCAGTTTTTTCTTTTAGTTTCGTCCCAAGACATTAATCAATTTCTATTCTCAACTTTCTCAACACCAAAATAGACTCCCTTCAAAACACAAAGACTCCCAGGAAGGTGTTTAAGGCTATTAGGTATATCTCACTGAGTCTAAACCGATTATTCTCATCCAGCAGACTGAGAAATACTGCAAGGATACATCTCTCTGCTTCAGTAACTATGTGGGGATTAGTTACGTGTGGAGGAATTCAGTTCATATACGATAAATTTATGAAAATGAGGTGAAGTTCAGTTCCTTGTGGGAGGGAAGGAAGGAAGGAAGGAAGGAAGGAAGGATGCCATGTTATTGTGACCATGTGTGTGTTGATATGTTCCTGTTATAATTTGGCTTGGTTAGGTTAGGTTATGTTAGGTTAGGTTAGGTTAGGCTATGTTAGGTTAGGTTAGGTTTAAGGACAGTTTGGTTTAAGTTTACCTAAGGTTAAAGTTTAGATTTTAAGATTAGATTAAGTTGACGAGGCAGGTGTTGGAGGAGATTAGTGGAGGCAGGTACTAATGAGGGTCACTGTAGGTGGGGACCAATTAGGACACTTCTTACCCTTAAACGCGTGGATTCCTTCAAACTATCCCCAGTATCTATCAGGTAGAGGACACACACACACACACACACACACACACACACACACACACACTTTTGTACCATGCGCTGAAATTCCTTGATAAATGACCCTGAACCCCACGTCATTATAATATTTTACAAGAACCACTTATGTGATTTGTCTATTTTCAGTTTCATTATTATTATTATCATTATTATTATCATTATCATTACTACACCTTGCCACCTGTAGGACTGTGCCAACAACCACCACAATTCCTTTCCTGACCTGAAGGAGAGCCATCACCTGAGGCCTCTACGGGCAGGTCCTCACTAACCATGAACCTGAGATGTGGGTGAGGGAGTGAGGGTGAGGGAGGTAGAGAAGGAGTGAAGGAGAGAGGGAGAGTGGGTGGACAGATGGGGAGTAGGTGAGGGGCTTAGGGAGGGAGTAGATGAGGAAGGTAGGGAGTGGGTAAGTGGGTGGGGAGTGGTGGTGAGGGTGTTGAGGAATGAGGGGAGTGGTGGTGAGGGTGTTGAGGAATGAGTGTGTGGGGGAGATGGTGTTGAGGAATGAGTGTGTGGGGGAGATGGTGTTGAGGAATGAGTGTGTGGGGAGATGTGGTGTTGAGGAATGAGTGTGTGGGGAGATGGTGTTGAGGAATGAGTGTGGGGAGATGGTGTTGAGGAATGAGTGTGTGGGGGAGATGGTGTTGAGGAATGAGTGTGTGGGGGAGATGGTGTTGAGGAATGAGTGTGTGGGGGATATGGTGTTGAGGAATGAGTATGTGGGGGAGATGGTGGAGTGAGTGTTGTTATTAATGCTACTGTTGTTGTTTTTATTGTGTTCAGGTGGGAAGGCGGTGTGGGTAGGTGGTGTGGATAGGTGTAGGTTGTGACTAGGTGGTGTTTAGGTGTAGGCTAGGTGTATTATACTATCCTTATATCACAATTCTTACAAATCTTTTCGTCTTATTAGAAGTATTTTTTTAGTATTTTTCTAATTTGAATTTTGGTCAAATAAATTATTATCATTAAACACTATATTACGACTGTCTGAAATATAAAAACCTTGCTGTTTACGTTAGCTATAAACATTATTAACTTAAATATACGTATATAGAGTTTATGGAATTTATATATAAAAATCGAAGGTAAATATGTTTAAATAGTAATAACGTTGGGGACATGTGGGAATAAAACCAATGGCATGAAGTTATGTGAGGAGATATTAACCATGAAAGCTCCCGCAGTGTCCACACCTGAAATATGCCGCCTGAAGTCTCCAACCCTGATGTTATCTCCGGCTCACCTCACAGCGTCACACAACAAAAACTCTCCTAAGACATCCTGGAGGTTTGTTTGCTCATATCTGCTCTTAATTAATATCATTGAGACAGGTAATAATTTATTTCGTGTATAATTACTGTATATGATTGATATTAGAAAAAAGAACATTCATCAATATTATTCAAACAGAATATAACCCGGTGTTAATTGACTAGTGATTATCGACGCTTACACAGGCTGTCATAACCAACATCTCTGGTATTTACGGCTCACATTCCCGCCAGAATATTAATCAAAACTTAACCTATATACACTGTCTATTTTCCATTTCCACAACAACAAACACCAAGAACAACAATAATATAAAAAACATCACCCATCGACTTAATGTAAATAACATGTAAGATAATATTGGGAAGAAAAACTCGTAAATGAAACATCGTAGGAGTCAAATGAGCGTCCCAAGCAGCTCACTCACTCAGCAGCCCGCCGAAGGTCAAGCCACAAGTCGCTAATGATCCATCCATCCCCATCCCACTGTCCCACCAACATTTACCTCGTATACTTGATTAATTCCTCAAACTTCAACCAAATAAGTCATAGAAATTGTTGACTAAAAAAAAATATAATTATAACTTTATTAAATGCGTGTGTGTGTGTGTGTTGGGGAGGGGGGGGAGGGGGTAATTGTAAGCTGTATGTTGAGGAAGAATTTGAAGTATTCGTCTGATACCCTAATGATTTGTTTTTATCAGGTGAAGACACGACTGAGAGGGGACACACCTGAGCACAGATGAACTTACGGGTGTATAAAAACAAAGGTAAGATTCCCCCCCCTTCTCTCTCCTTGTTAACTGTTGGTGTCTTCCCTTATACCTGGTTTGGGTCGATTAAAGGTAGGTGTGTGTGTGTGTGTGTGTGTGTGTGTGTGTGTGTGTGTGTGTCCTCTGGCCGCCCACAGCTGCCCACACTCCCTCTTACCTGATGACGATGACAGGTAACCACTCACACCTTAACACACCTTTTCCCTTTATTCCTGGACAGTTACGTCAACATTATGTAACCTCTCTTGCTATCTTTACTAATTAATACTTTTTTATAAACATACTTTCCAAACTTTTTATTTAAATTAATGTCGAAGTGGTTTTTTTTTTTTTAATAATCATTTTTTTTACGGGAATTAGTCCACCCAGACACAGGTCACTGACCCACATCGGAGCCTGGGGGGGGAGGGGGGGGGAGGGGGGACGAAAATATAATAATAATAATAATAATAATAATAATAATAATAATAATAATAATAATAATTAATAATTAATAAATAATAATTAATAAATAATAATAATAATAATAATAATAATAATAATAATAATAATAATAATAATAATAAACCACAAAGAAATACAAAATGAAAAAAAAAGTGAGAAACAATATATGTATGTTGTGTTGTCAATAGTAAGAGAAACAATTGAGACCCAGCAATTGTGTGTAAATGAGGCAGAAAGTCAGATCAGCAACCTGGGACTTGGTCACAATTTTCGTGATGCCATATGGCAGCAAGTAATAGGATATAAATTTGCAGTTTTAGGAAATAAAAGATTAACTCAATGTATTATGAAAGATGTTTATATACGTGCTATGGTTTAAGTAAGATAAGTTTACTGTAGGTTTATATTAGGGATTAGGTTCTTGGTTTATCTCAGTTATATATACATTGGTACTCAATTCGATTTTAAACCATTGTCACCACCAGGTTTACCCCACTCTTGGGCTTTGTAGGGCGACGAGTACCTCCAACCACCACCTACCAGGGTTACTATACTCTAGATCATAATATTAGTGGGACAATAGCCTGAGATACTGTAGGTCTACGAGTAAATTCTAATTTTCTACACCAATGGGAGTTTCTTGGTTTGCTTGCTTGAACTGGGACAAGACACTGGCGCTAGATGCTCACCTTAATGTGCTCTTGAGATGTTTTGTCCAGTCACGTAATGGATTGGAAAGGTGTAATGACTGTCGACAATAGAGGTGAGATTAGGTGGTGGCTGGGCAGTGTGAGTTGGGTGGGTAGGTGGGTGGGTTGGAGTAAGTGGGTGGATTTAATTGGGTAGGTGGGTAAGTGAGTAGGGGTTAGTGTGCAGGTGGGTTGGGTAAGTGGGTGGGTGGGTGGGTTGAGTGTGTGAGTGGGTGGGTGGGTGGGTGGGTGGGTGGAGTGGGTGGGTGGGTGGGTGGGTGGGTAGTGGCTGGGAGTGGGCAATGTAGGTTCATGGATGAATGGGTTGGGTGGGTGGGTTGGTTGGTGGGTGGGTGGGTGGGCTACAAAGAAACCCACAAAAGCATATGTTGATGCCCCACCCATTCCTCCTCCTCCTCCTCATCCTCCCACACGTGTGTCACTCATCGTAAAAAAACATTACCCCGTCTACCGCTGTGGTTAGGTTAGGTTCGGTTAGGTTAGGTTAGGTTCGGTTCGGTTAGGTTAGGTTAGGTTAGGTT